CATGTAATGAAAATATGGATTGTAGTAAATGTGAATAATCAGGGTTGGGTCTGATACATAACGTTCATTGTATTATTAGGTACACCTTCAAATCCTACTAATGTCAACTATACGAATTGAAAATCAGCTAATCTAAAATTGGAAGTGTTTTTATTTTTATGTTATTCATTGGTTCATAAATTTATCCGTCGTAATAATGAAAAAAACTGTTACTTAAATTTACACTTACCAATGCTAGGGTGTCCAGAGTCCATTATGTACCATCTATAGTTAATGGGCAATGAAAATGAATTTCTAATATGTGAGCTATAATTACGTTATTAGTTTTAGGTTATTATCTTTCAAATGTGAGCCAGCTGAAAATACATCGTTCATCATGGTTTGATGAAAATTTACTTGAGTGTTAGTTAAGCCGACCTTAATATTGTTGTAATAGTGAGTTTATCTAACTAAGTAATTGTCAACTTCTCATCATATAATTCTACATTCATAACGACTGTTGCTTAATATTTTCACTATGAAAAGCTATAGTAACCATTTTAAGGTCAAGAAGCATTTCGATAACATCAACTGATTTTAATCAGGCATAAATTGAGTTTGGAATCACCGATGGAGTGTGATCACAGTCCTAGAAATCAGTAGGAAGATTCAAACAGGTAATACAGATGAATCAAACGTTACCACTTTACACAGGTCACTGGCTATCTGGACTCAGTAACTAAGTGGATAGCGTAGTGGCGCTTCAGAAGAGTAGTACTGGGTTGAAGTCTCGGAAAGAACACACAGTGAAATGTGGGCACGTTCAATTAACCAGACCTTGATCTTACAGCTAGCTATTATCCATCTCTGTTTATAGTCTTTGTACCTTAAGACAATATTGAGGCTATCCACACAGCATGCAAATATGTCAAAAATAGACTGTTCAATTTCAGTTCTAAACATCAATGGAAATATTCAGATGACCAATATAAACGAGTACAATGATTATTTTGCGTAATTTGTAACTAAAATTTTTGAAACAACTGCTACTTGTCAATTAGTGCAAATAGTAAAAATATCGATATGAGAAATCGATTACGAAAGTACTTGAGGAATATATGTTTCAGACATTCGATAATGGAGACAAAAGATAAACGACGAAAAGGAATGCATGTGAACTGGAGTGTCAGATACAGTCAACTCTCAGTAATAAATTAGCTCAGTCTTTATAAGCACGAAAGCGATATACGTAAATAAGCAAACACATATGCACTAGCAGACACACATTTATAAAATGTGACCAACGAAGCCCTTGGGTCAATAACGAGTTCACATTTATTAGTGATAGGATAATTAGAAAAATTAGAATAATTTATTTACGCAAAAATTAGAACAAACTACTTATTTTGTGCTAATAGAGATTTATTGCAATGCAACCATACGCACAACTCATCACTTCACGTGAGCGAGGAAATCCAAAGACTGATAATGTAATAGTCACATCTACCTCTTCAGTGATAACGTTTTGTATCAGTATGACTGACATGACTCCACGGTGACACTCCTTGGTCAATTGTGTTATCAACTTCATAAATTTATTCATAGAACTAAATTGCGGCTCTCACAGTTAACGATCCTGTTTAGACAACTTCATCGTGCCATATATTCTTGTTCTGTGCGACTCTTAGTGACTGTGGCAACAATCATCAGTTTATTACACGTTACTACCGAATGACCAATGAATTTGTAGTGACTCACGTTTATCACGAGAACACGACTGGTTTAATAAAAACAATTATTATTATAACCAACTGTACCAGTGTTTGTTTTAACGTGCTTTTGTTTGACTGTGCTAATGACAGCTATTTTGTGCTTCCATTCTTTCGCTTTCACTTCGATTGTAACTTCGCGCGAATTCGGTTACCTTCTGTAACCAAGGTTGTATCCTGGCACGATCTCGGTATCCTTTCGATGCCACGAGATCGCCAGCAAATAAACATCGACTTGGTCCATTAACTGTCTTCTGATATTTGGCTTCTCGGGGATTTTATGGAGTCATTTGGAACGAGCTTCTTACGCCTTCTGATTCGCTTGGCACGTGTTTCTTGGTAGCGGTGTTCATAGTTAATCTCAACTCGACGCCACGCTACAAATTATTGACTTGAAATCATAAATATCTTTGTCCTCGGCTATACTTCTGCACTCTTTGTGGTGCTGTGAAATAAGGATATACTTTTTAAAAACATTTATACAAGAAAAACCATCAATGACAATGGCAGACATACTGCTTCCAGCCAATGGGGGTATGATGGATTAAACTAACTCGTGATACACCAATTGTACTACCGCTCTAGTATCATTGTTTCTAATGAATTCGTTATTTGTGCTATTTGTACAAAAAATATCAATCACTTTTCAGTGCCATATATTTCAATGTTACATATAAGAGCTGTTTTAAAGTTATATCATTCTTTACTATTATCACCACAAACCATCTTATATCCTTACAAGCTGTACATCATTCTTAATCATGTCAGAAACCTAAGATTCTTGGATTCATCAGTACTTATTTTTGCCCTATTGGTTTTCGTCTCTTTCTTTCGATTTTCGGCCTACCATCACCAAGGAGATTCTCATGGATCTTTAAATGACCTCCGTTGCGCGACTACCAACGACACAATTGGTAACGACTCAAACGGTTTTTGAATCTGAATAGACATTATTGTATGGTCAGTGAAGTGTCACAGAACCCCACCCAAGCGATACTTCATGCTTACCGTTCACTCGTCGGATAACAAATTACTGGGCGTTGGAGAGTTTTTCAAGCCTCGTCAAGGTCACAGACAAAGAACACTGAATAATCACTTCCAATGATCAGGTCGTGGGAAGCTAGGTTTGTGCTCGATCATAAAGTGTGACTTCTACCCGAAATATCAGGCCCGACGTTTGCCATTCATTTCGGAGGTCACTTACAAATGAATAATGTTATGGAAAACTTTAAATTTGCGAATTGATCAGATATTGTTTAAGCTATCAAAGTATGCTTACAAACTGGAATAAACTAGTAAGGTTCTAATAATTATGCCGGAAATTATATTCTAAGGTTGGTACGAACCCAACGTTTGTACCGGCCTTCTGTATAATGCAAACAAATGAACTTGATACAGCTTGCCACCACGAGTGTGACGTCACATTTGATAACAAGAGGAAGTAAAAGCAAACTCGGAGGAAATAAAAGGCATGACAGACTTCATAAAGGGAGAATGTCAATTTCGCCACTTACTTCAATCGTTTGAAAAAAGTTCGTTGAGAATTTTGAGTGAAATAAACCAAATTTTTAAGCGAAATATGTCATACGTATAAATATATGGACCTTTGGGGAAGTGAACTGGAGTCAACAATTTTACCAGTTCACTTGGTGCCGACAAATGGGAAAACATACAGCCTGCACTGGCACTATTGGTTACTACGAAACTATCAGAATGCCACCAAATGTCCGAGAAATTTCAAGTCGGAGCAAATCGCGATATCTTGACAAGTCTATCTGTTCACTAACTTAACTGTTACCATTAGAACAAAATAAATTGTTTACTAAAGTCTGGGCAGGAGCGGATTCCGCAAATTGACTGATGACTTCCCTGAACAAGCTGAAGAGTATAATTTAAAGGACTTAAAAAGTATAATGGTCCTTTAAAGTTTTATTCACGATACGTATGGCTTGCGATAACTCAGGTGATTTGAAAGGGACGATCTTTTAACCTGTTGAGGCAAGATTTAGCACTGGAACTAACTCAGTCACAGCAATAACGTTTCGCCTAATGACTAAAAAGCCATGTATAAATTTTGAAAGGGTGAATGAATTAATCAAGATTATAAAAGCCCATGACACTACTGAGCAGTCAACTCGATTCATTAGCGGTGGGAAAACGAGAATAACTAATTGTAGTTGACGGACAATAACATTATTAACGTAAACATAGTATATTAAATTACATCCTATCAGTTAAAACAGCGGTCATCGAAATGCAACTATGAAGCAGACTAGACCAAGCCCACTATGAATTATAGGATCAACAAAGCCTGATAATAATACTTCTATCTCCTGGGTGCATGAATCTGAGTGGTTGTTTAATTTTTCTCTGAGATTTAAATTTTGGTTTTGATGTGAACCGTTCGTTCTCATTCACTGTCAACAAATGGAAAAAGACAGTCTTAATGCGATATAGTTATGAATATGAAGTTAGACATTAACACAGTTGGATGCCAGCTCAGTGGTCTAGTGGTTAAGTGCTCGCGCGCGAAGCCAGTAGGTCCTGGGCTCGAGCCCCGCGTGGTGCGGGATCGTGGGTGCGCCTTGCTGAGGAGTCCCACACTAGGATGAAACGGCCGTCGAGTGCTTCCAGGTTTTCCATAGTGGTCTAGGTTCAATCGACCCATGATTTCAACCTGTGGAATATGATCTCTGTTAATGACTTCCTTATTTTAGCTAGACTCCGAGATGACTAACCTGTTGTGAACGCAACCAGTGAAATACTACCCGCCCGGTGTTGTCGTAAAACAACAAAGTTTTTAACCAGTAAAATGGTTTCCAATCCAACCGCTCGGTGAATATAGCATAGTCTCTTTCTTAACATATTGGTCGACGGTGTTATGTTTGGACAAAGATTAACAAGCGAAAAATCACGACACATGGGGTGTCAGATATTTTTCATTCTACCGCCTCTTAAACTAGTATTCTCACGTTCATCTAACAATTGTTCTTTTAATTTCACTTTGCGACACAATGAAACTTCGCTTTAAAATGACATCTCATTTCTATGTTTCCGTAGAGAGACAGTGATTCTTCAATGCTTTGAAAGTGATCACTTCATTGGAATGTTGTTAATGGAGCTAAATTTTTAGAAGTTGTGTAGTTTGTTTAAGTCTATCAATTAGTTGTACAATTCTAAGGGTCCCCGTCAGCGCTTAGGTTCTAAGTGATGTCGAATTCTAGGAGTATAGACCACTGAGATTTTGACCTTATGGCAGCAAAGTCGAAAAGGTTACTGAAAGTTATAGATGGAATACGTTCTTGGAATATTAGCTCGTCTCAACCAAATTCGTCACCAAAGTCAGCCATTGAAATCGACGAGTATTTAAAGAGTGAACATTTCCAAGTTGGAAAGGTAGATATTTATTTTCTGGATGAAAATAATGTCCTCATACTCGTTTTCTGTTGATATCTATTTTCAGATCTCTGTGCATGGTTTTCCTCACCAACCAACTTGCATCGCTTTTGATCCCGTTCAACGAATTGTTGCTGTTGGAACGAAGTGTGGGTTCATCAGGATGTAAGTTGTTCACATATTATTACATGCTTGGGATAGTTTCGGAAGACCAGGTGTAGACTGTAGCATCTCTCATCCTTCAGCATCTGCTGTCCTTCAAATATTCTTTCTCGTCAACGAGGTAAGTCACTCACATTCAATGCACATATGATAACCTACCGTCACGAGACGTTTTACATGAACAATCTCTATGAGATTCCAAATTTCTTATAAAAGGATGGGCTGTAAATTCTAGACTATAGTCATGCGTAGCTTACAGCATTATATGCGTTTTGTTTGTTTCTAGAACTACCTAGATGTTTGGTTTTATGGAAACAAGTTTTCACCTTTTAAATATAACGATAACACTCATTCTCAGTTCTTATTCACCTTCACGCATATGCTATAAACCACGTCGCTGAATGTGACCCAAATACTATTTTAAGATCCTTAGTTTATCCCATATTACTCAGTAGCAACATTAAGGTTATTAAAGTATATGTTTAGGAAACAAGTTTTACTAGTAGCAGTTTCATAGCTATCGTCCTCATCTTGAGCTATAAGTCATCTTTCAGTTTACGAAGAGAATTGTACTTTCTCGGTTGTTTCTTATTGTTATGCGCAACAAACAGTAAATTGAACTTGTGGCGAGACTAAAATTTATGGACGAAGTAATCAGATATAAGATAATGAGTCACGAATTTGGCGCGGATTTCATCCATACATTTGGCTAAATGGAGTTTTGGCATTACAGTTGCTACCTTGACGTGGTGGTTGAGCTTGCCTATCGTGATGAAGCAACCGAGCTATATTGGCTGGAACAACCGTTCCTCAAGGTCCTACCATGTCAGACAGGTCGATTGAAGAGCGGTAAGAATAAAAGCAACAAACCCAAGGTCCGAAGGCGAAGTCGTACTGCTGACTGTACAGAGGCGTGACAGCAGTAAGGTGTTTCCTTCAGACAACCAGCATGACAGCGATGCTGCCTTCCCACAAGGAGGGGTGGGGTTAGAAAAGGTCGACCCTAAAAATGCACACCTCACCTTACCTCACGGATTTCCGTCTCCGGTGGTAAGGCTCTTTGAAGAACGGAGCTAACACGTCAAAAACCTCCCACGAAAGGGCCGTGCGCGACCGGCCTCAAGCAGTTGTCCCTTGGGCACTGCGGTCACGCTCTCAGGTCACTGAGACCGCCTCTAATCCAATTTCCTTTTCAGGTACCTGCAGAAGAACCCTTCATCGGTGTGGGCAGCCGGGAAGTGATAACCGCCCTCATACCTCTAACAGCACTCAAGACCACTCAAAGTCTAATTTTTAACCCTTACCATCGACTGTGAATGAGAATTCTAACTGCTTTATAACCGTTATTTAGTCCTAATTGGTAGTTGTTCACTCTCACGGTCACTTCAGTGTCGCTCAGAGGTCGTCCATAAATTATAGTCTCACCGAACTTGTTCTTGAGGTTCGAGCCTGCATACAAGTGTACTTCATCGTACATGCATGGTTTGAAATAAGTTGTGGTGTCCCTTTCTGTATTGGTTCATTAAATAACGATCATACTGTTACGTTAGTTGCCCTTACCATGTGTTTATTGTTAGTTGGGAGTGAGATAACACTTAAAATTATATCATAAAACAGCCATTTAAATTCTCATTTTCCTAAAATGAGGATTTTACTTATTTTCAAATCATTTCAAGGGTGGATTGGTTTCCATTTGTGGTGACGACGTTGCACACTTGTGGAACATAAGACAAAAGAATCCAGAAATAGTACACTCTTTACAGTTCAAACGTGAACAGTAAGTTAAATGTGTGTGATGTGCTAACTAGCATATTTATATATTTTACTCATGTTGTAACATTTTGTTTGTAGGATAGCAATAATGTTGATTGTCATATAGTAATTATTTTAAGTAGTCTTTTAATCTTTAGTTTCTATCATCAAATCGTTTCGTCCCTCCATCTGTTTTTTTTACTCCGTGGTCTTTTAGGCATACGTACTAATTGCATAAATGGTTTACTTGAAATTGATCTTAGATTAGCCTATACATTGTTACGTTTACGCAGTTTCTATCATGAAGAGATAGTACAGGTGCAAAAAATGTAGAGCCAATACTGAAAGCACGAAAATAATAAGTTGGCGGAGTAGTAAAGTGGATGACTGTGTAGGTTGAGATTGATTTCGAATTGTATCACTTAATTTTCTCGAAATACAGATTTTGTAGGGTTAGCTTATGCGATAAACTGCTACATCTTTTATGTGGCTCCAAAAGCAACCTATACCATTGACTATTATTCATAGTAATGGAACTAATGCTAGTTGATTTTAATTACTAGTGTTTTCTCCAACATCTTGCTTAAAACATTAGGATGATGTGTTTTACATTAGCATGTAAAGGTGAACCGTAGATTAGCTGACTTCTTAGAACTTGTTTTACATGTTTTTGAATATCTCTGCTCGTATTCAGAGTAGTATAGTTTTTCTATATATCTAGACAGGTGTCAGCTACATATCAATAACTTTTGAGCTGATTCTATCTTCAAAATGTCTTACGCTTTCTGGGTGGCAATATGAACACCTGTCAGTTATGTAGGAACTATTTCTTACGTTCAGACTTCTTTCTAAGCAAGACAGCCCCAGTTTTATTTCGAGAGAGAATCGCGCGTTAGGGTTACATTGTCTGATGAAAGTATCAGCCTACTAAGGTCAACAATATTTTACTGATATATTTTCTAAACCTTCATAACTTTCCAAGCTGTTAGACCGTGTGATAAGACTGAATAATGATTGCCACTGAAGTTTGAATTGGATGTTTTGCCTTTTACCTAGTTTCAGCTTCAGTTTCATTTATTTGCGTAAACAAGTTGATGGATCATCAGGGATCGTATGAAATGGTTTTACATTGCGCTATAAAAAAGTAAAGAAATAAATATTTCGATCGTATAGGGAAGCTTAAGAGTTACATAGTACTACATCAGTGTTAGATTAGTTTCATGGTCTATATAACTCAGTAAAATTTTGTATAATCATATTTTTAATTTATGTTCTTGGCTTCAAATGCCGGGGCTCGATTGGTACTATTTGATGATAACAGTGAGTAGCGAGTGTAGTGAGAAGGAATTTGGATTCATCTCACACATATATTTGTACTGTCTGCATTTGCTGGAGTGGTTTTAGTACCTGTAACCGACACCTCTGAGGAATGTAGGATTTAGTCGTCCGATTGTGTTTTAGATGGGTTATCACTAAATCGATAAAATTAAAAAATAGGGTTATGTTTTGTCGTTAAGTTCACGAAGTCTATGATCATCGATGGCGTCGGTTTTGAAGTTTGTTTGATTGGGACTCTTGAGCCGCGCAATTTCTCAAAAGTCAGTCAGAAAAACACATTAAGAAATGTGTACTATTTATCACGGATTGTCTTCAATTTCTGGCAATAAATAATAAGAATAAGGAATGTTTATTAGGATTATTTACTGCCGTAAAGTCAAGACAATCTGTGACATTTGGCGCACATTTCCTAATGTGTTTTCCTGACTGAATTTCGGGAAATTGAGGGGCTCAAGAGCACCTGTCAAATATACTTCAAAGCCGAAGCCATTGATAATCTTGATGCTTAGAGCATTGTTAATTCCACGCATAACTAGTAAGACAAATTATAAGAATATTACGTTACGAAGTTTTTGAGTAAGTCTCTTTAGACTTCACATTATCCAGGTCATCAATAAAATCCCCTGGCTTCTATTTCTTTATCTCCCATATCATTATTTTGTGTCATGTTTTGGTGCCGTATATGTACCAAGTTTATGTTTTGAATAGACAGTAGATAAAGTATGACTTTTCTCCTGGTCCCCCTCACAGTGCTATTCCCTATACTGCGAGAATCAGTGCTCTTGATTTCATCACAATCCAGTCACCTTTCCTCACGTGGTTGAACCTCAATGAACAAGCATTCCAGCCAGTGTAGCTCGGGTGGGTCGGGTAGTAATTAAACCTGACTACTGCATCAAGTGGCCAGGTATAATTTCTGGTTTAATTTTTTAAATGTAAATCTAGCTGATTTTTATGAATTGTTGCATACACGACAAAAGGTGAACTTGTGGAGTAGGCATACAACCATGACAACAACTATCCGTTATTATGTACTGTGTTTTATTCAGTATACTTCAAGAACTTGTCCCTCACATAACGATTTTTGAAGAGGACCTTATTATGAACAACAGTTTTCCGTTGTGCTTTTGACGTCGTTTGAAAAGTTTGCGCAGAAAAAGCACTTTTTAGTTCATTCCAAAATTATGTTCATTTACATTTCTACAATAAAAGTCTCAGCTTCATTTCTTACAACACTAGTCATTTGGATTGATGTCTAAAAATATGATTCGTTTTTACGTTATATCTCCGTGAACCACCTAGGCAGGAGTGTTTCTTTCTCGTCTTTTCAACATTCATATGCTCCTGTGAATGCTGGTGTGACACAATACCCAACACACTAATTATGCTTTCCACTTTGAATATTGAAAGAATACAGGTGTATTATCGTGAGTTAACCGGCGTGGGAACTTAGCTTTGGCATTAACAGACGAATATCTCATCTAAAATCTTTTAATATCTAGCAACTACATTTCTGAAGTATATTAATGTGCTAGCTCACCAAAGAGGTTGATCAAAAACGAAAATGTTTTCGGTTATAACCGGCTGCAGTAAATTCGGCATGATTGTACCTTGAGGTTTTTGTGAAACATTAATTAGTTAGTACTCATTCCAAACCAGTTTTGTCGTCTTACGAACCATGTAAAGATGCTCCTTTCTCTTGTATGCTGATTGTTTCATACAAACCTTGTGCATGTTATTCATAAACACAACACACGTCAATTCTGTTTTTAGAAACGGTTTGTTTTATTGATTTCATTTAATCAGTAATTGGTTTGTTACTACCATCATGAATTTTCATAATATTTTTTGCATATATGTAGCTGTGAAATCGTTTTATATCCTATAGTTTTCCATTTACCGGTGACCACATTTGACGTTATTTTATGTTTTAGTTTTGATAAAATATTTTTGATTTAAGTCAAGTTGTCTGTGTATACAGTATTATCATCATAATGTTATTACTTCAGTTTCTACGTTTCATATCCGAATTTTTTGGATTCATTACTTTTATGTACCTACACTGTCGAACAGTAGTCCACTATAAACACCACTATTTGGTTATTTAGTGCATAGTTTTTGAGATGATTGTTTTATGTTGTTTCGTACAGACTAATTTTATTAATCCATGAAATGAGTAGTCTCATATAGTGGTGAGGGTGCATTTTGGAGTAACTCATTGATTAACCCTTAATTAAATGCTTATCAAAATAACGAAATATTTGCCTTAGTCACTTGGTCAAGTTGTGTTTTAGCAGTAAAAATTACGCTACCATCATATCCCTTTTATTGATTTACTATAAGAATAAACTGTGGGACAAGTTACGACCAGGCAAGGTTTTTGCATAGGATTCTAAATTTTTTAGTTAAGAGTGAAATCCTGATTAGACTGTGGCAATTGTGTTTGTCTTACTCATAAATCTCCATAAGTTTTGGCGAAATTTCAGGAAACTTTAGTGCGACACTTTATTACTGATTAAAACATTCAGTGTCCACAACCACAAAAATTACAGAAGTCTGTGACAAAAATATTGGTGTTCATAGTAGTAGGAAGTCTGATTTTTCCATTTAAACAATTAGATCAGACTGAATGAGTGGTTACATAGTTTCTTTAAAGTGTATGTTGTCTTGTTTCTGGATTCGTGGTGTTAGTCTTCTTTTCAAGAAAGGGTACTCGTGTTTATCAACCTACTTAATCACGGGGTTAGTTAATATGGCCCTATCCATACGGCGAATATACTGCGCAGAGGTCCGTCTGTATGACTGTGAAATATGGTCTATGGATAGGCCTCAGGTTTTCAACCAGAGGTGCATTCGAAGCATTGAGTGAACAATATTATGGTTACTTATGGGGCACTATGAAGATATATAAACTCGGTTGTCCCAGCTGGGACATTTATTACGTACACCGAACCACTGCCTACCTCGACGGAAAATTTTAACTGGTATTGGAGTAGGAATAAAGCTAGGGGTTGCGAATCAGAATTTATTAAAATAAATGTTGTTACAAATGGTCACCTTAAAATAATCGAATGGGATTGTAAAAAGACTGAGAAAGTAAGGGGGGTATAATCAAGTAAATAAATAAACAGTGAAAATAAAGGAAATCCAATGAAAAAAACCCACTTTTATAAAATCATTTTCTCAAGCTGTACATTCGTATTTATAGTTGTCAGGTAATTATATGGGTATAAGAGAATAGAGAGAGAGATTACACCATAAAGTGATCTGAGATTTAAAATATCAAAAGATTGCTTGGCGATCAAGGGGTTAAACAAGAATAAGCGGATGAGGATTATTTACGGGTCAGAAATATGAAATATGATTAGGAAAAAATAAAAACGCAAAGGTAATGATAGAAATTAAATAATAATCGTGTAAAATTATTCTCATCTAACTTCTCAATCGTTAAAGTCTTCTATCCTCTTATACTCTTATATTTATCAAAAAATTTCAAATACGAATATACGGCTTAAAAAAATGATTGTATCAGTTATTTTTTTCGCTGAATTCTCTTCACTCTTATTCAATAACACAAAGGGTCGCTTTTATTAACTAAATAAAAAACCAATGAAAGTAGTAAATAATCAGTGATAAGTCTTGCTACCGTTCGGTAAAAAACAACCAGAAAGGACTCTGTTACAAAAG